TAAGAAAAAGACTGAAAGCAAAAGGCCTGCGTGCGTGAGGGTAATTGGAACTGAATAAACACGACGTCTCCTGCTCTTTCATTACCACCCACTCAGGGAAAGAGCATTTCACGCGTTCTTCCTCAAGCAACACTTTGACAATATGTCACTTATTTCTGCCCTGAGAGGCAAGAAAAACATTACCCTCTGGGAATTAACCAAGAACGTAGTTCGCTTCCAACATTTCTTCCAGACATTTGTTCCCCGACTGCCCTCCTCCCCTCGGCCTCCTCACAGCCTCCTCGGCGGTGGGGGACCCCTCCCCACAGGCCTCTTCTGGAAGGTTCCAGGCCGCCGCCGCCATGTTCGCTCCCCCCCGCCGAGACCCCCCTCGGCTGGCTCCATTTGAGGCTTTAGCACCTGGGCCATGGGAATCCTGAGGTCTCCTCACAGTCAACCTTCACCTCTGAAGGGAAGCGCCATGATTCCAGCCCGTCCTCCCCAACCAAGGTGGCTCCCAAGGCTTCATAACCTCCGAGTCGCTTCTTTCTTGCCCACTCAGGCCCACTTAACAATTGGCAGAAAAGTAAATGAGAGGAAACACTAAATATTTTGAACTGTTGATGTTTTCTTTGGAGTTTTTTTCTGGGGGGGAAGGGAAGCAAGTTGAGGATAATTCTCCAAAGACAGTAAATGATAGAAGCCTCTCAGGCAGGCCACCTGGAAGACTCGCTGCTGAGCCGCTTGGTTTTGATAGGAAAACTAAACCACCATACTTTTAAAGACTGACCTAATGTGGCTTTTTTTGGGTGGTGTAAAACATTTTGGGCCAAAACTGCCTTTTATTTCAAAGCAGTAGAATTAAATTGTAGGAATCAACGTGAAATCGCTGTTACCGGGAGAGGAGAAGGGAGGGAGGCAGCAGGGCTGCGGCCAGCGGAGAGCCCGCTTCCCCGGTGCCCGCGTTACGGCCCCACCGCCCCGAGTCCCGCCAGCTGAGCGAGGGGCCGATGCACAGCGCTCCGGCGGGAACCGCGC